TAACAGCTCGGATTTGAGCGTGCGTTTGCATAGGAAGCGCCGGGTTCATTCTGTGAGGAGATTATTCCAGAAGCTTACCCCGTGCGTGCCAGAAAGCAGAAATGGGACTGAATATTGGTTTTCCCTTCTTGGTGGGAAATCTCTAGATTTTCTGAGGTCAGTACTCTTCCTTCGTGCCCGGAGCTAGTCGGACCTGCTGTTCTGTATGACATATATGGAAACAGAAGGAATTTTCAGCATGATGATTAAAGCTGCAGTGTAAAATCAGTCATTTTACTCCATAGCCACACGCACAGAATTTCTGTTCGGATGTGGAGTTCAAGCTATTCATTTGTCCGTTTCCTTTACCCCGTGCCCTTTTTACTTGCAAGTGTCAAAAACAAGCAACTTTTCTTACCGTAAAGGTTTGTGTTTTAAACAGAATTTTCTCCATCACGTTTTTTTGAGGAAAATGGTAGTCTAGCATAATTCAATTTCTTTCGAGTGATTTGTTTCTTAGAATGAGAAATTTTTGAATTTGTGTCCAGATACCTTATAATAACTATTTAACTAACTAAAAAGTTAACGCCTGCGAAGTGTGTGTGTGTGTGTGTGTGTGTGTGTGTATTATGTATATAATTTCATGCATTGTATTGGTAAAGTTGGTGGGTAATATTACCTCAAAAAAGAAGAAAAAAAGCCATCAGAAATGTTTTCTAAAATATTCCACAATAGAACCCCAAAAGTTGTGACTTTTTTTTTTAGTAAATTACAGTTACTGAGGAAAGGTGAAAAAATGCTTGCCCGGAAGTAGACATCGGAACACCTCGGCGACAGGAAGGCTAAATTAGTTGAGCCATTCCGAACTCACGGAATCCGTAGTGTTTCATTTCAGTGTTTTCCACTGTTTTTGCATACTTTTCGTTTTTGCTTATGTGGAGCTGAGTTCCGACGCAGGGCGGAAGTGGAGTAAGCTTGTGGAGGCGTTTGCCTTGGTGCAGCGGCCCAGTGGCTTAGAACAAAAATGTCTGACGACTTTGGGAAAGACCTGTGCGACAGAATCCCACCGAATGGAATCTGATCTCTCAGATGGGAGGTTTGGACAGCCTGGCGGGGTTTGGACAGCTGTGATCTGCATTTCAGTGAAGACATCAGCCTCCAGGGTACCTTCCTCTTGCAGCCTGTGAGGGACTCAGGTGCCCAAGCAGTTACAATTTAGAAAGGAAATTGTGCCTTTATAATTAAAACCCTAGGGCCCAGCGACGTGGCCTAGCGGCTAAAGTCCTCGCCTTGAACCCGCCGGGATCCCATATGGGCGCTGGTTCTAATCCGGGCAGCTCCACTTCCCATCCAGCTCCCTACTTGTGGTCTGGGAAAGCAGTGGAGGATGGCCCAAAGCATCGGGACCCTGCACCCATGTGGGAGACCCAGAAGAGGTTCCTGGCTTCAGAAAAGAAACCACATGTGTTGTTTGTTGTAGATACGGCCGAGTGGCCTTTACCTTAGTTGTATGTATTTTCATGTGTTTAATCTCTATCAGGAAAATTAGAGATAGCCTTTTCACTGTTTAACATGTCAAGATTTAAACGTGCGGTGCTTTAATAATTTATCAATTTAATAATTTTTTATATGACTTAGACATTTTTTTATAATTTATTAAAAATGAAGCTGTTGCTAGGTTTAGGCAAGCGTAAAACCAATATGAGATTCAATTAACACATCTTCAAAAACTGTATTAATTACTCACCGTTTGACATCTTTTGCTTCCTCCTAGTAACCTGTGTGGTGTAGCATCATTCCAGCTCTAGGGAACTGCCCCTGCTGGGTGAAGCAGCCTCACTGAATCACTATGGCTCTTGGCCTTGACATCGTCTTAAGGAAGTTGTGGCAATCGACAAATAAGAAACCTGCTTAAAAGCACAAGTCTTGGGATGTGTGTCTGAATTCGGTGTTTCACACCCCAGGAAGTAGAGTTAATATTGACTCGAGTTCTGTTCCCTAAGAACTGAATTACATAGAGATAGAAAGGATAAGTTTTATTTATTTTTTTAAAGATTTATTTTTATTATTTTTTTTATTGGAAAGGTGGATATACAGAGAGGAGAGACAGAGAGGAAGATCTTCCGTCCCATGATTCACTCCCCAAGTGAGCGCAACGGCTGATGCTATGCCGATCGGCTGATGCTATGCCGATCCGGAGCCAGAAGCCTCTTCTGGGTCTCCCACGCGGGTGCAGGGTCCCAAAGCTTCGGGCCGTCCTCGACTGCTTTCCCGGGCCACAGGCAGGAAGCTGGATGGGAAGCAGGGCTGCCGGGATTAGAACCATTTTCCATATGGGATCCTGGTGCTTGCAAGGTGAGGACTTTAGCTGCTAGGCTACTGTACCAGGCCCAAAGTTTTTATGATGACAGTTTAGGTTTCCATTATTTGGCCAGTTTTTAGAGGATCCTCAGTGTCCCTGGAACCTGATTGCTGGAATGGTCTGCAGCATTTGGCAGTGCTCCTTCAAGCTCCTTGGGGTGGTGCCAAAGGCAAGGGGTTCTGCTTGAATTCTTGTCCACAGGAGCACCTGCTCTCACGCTCACCAACTCTGTCGCCAGCAAAGCCAGCTCTGTTTTTGTGGCTTAGCCCATTCAGCCACAGGGAAAAGGGTTGCTAGTGTCCCAGGCTCGTTTCCTCGCTGTCTGTGCTAATTGAAGCACTGCCAGGGTATCCTGGAGACAGAGTCACGCAAAGTTTAGCGTGAGCTATTTGTGTGCTGTGTTCATAGAGGTTGACTTCGTTATAGTCCGTCTACTGTGTGGTCTGTACCCCTCTCCTATCCTCTCCCTTTCTTCTTTTTCTCTGGGCTGCCCTGTTTGTTTTGTTCTGGAAACAGTTAGATTTGTTGTTGCAAAACCAGATACTTCCATAGAAAAATTATACTACAGAATGCCTTTTTGTTTCGCCTCAAATTAACAGAAACAAGTTAATTCAGTGTTGTCCTCCCATTGGGTGAGAAATCCTGATCATTCATTTCTTGTATGGATGCGTGTCCCTTTGCTTTTTGTTTTAATTGGTCTGGCATGTGAATGAATGTAATTGGAAGGAATTCCAAATGGTTTTTGCACCAGATTAGGGATAAAGATAAAATAAGTATTTTTGTAAAATTAATTTGATCGTGCCATGCATATACTATGAATAACCCAATTCATATTTTCCCCTGCAATTTCACAGTACAGTAAGACAGCTTCACATTTGTAGATATATTGCTTGTGACTTACTGGTAAAATTTTAGAAAAAGAGAGAAACTTTATTTTTGTTTTGTTTGAGAGTGTACAGACCAGCAGAAGTGAACCATTCTGGTTTTCCTATGTCCTTTAAAGAGCTAGAAAGTTGACTGTATTTATAGAATAAGTGGTGTCTTAGACTATCCAACAACAGAGAATATCTTTGTAACCTCTGTTCTAAGGGTTGAATTGACACATCTATACCTTATGCCTCTTTCATTTGTGATTAATATAATGACTTGCCAAATATGGTGTAGAGTGTCTGAGCGGGATAGAATTACAGGAAGCTGTGCATGGTAGGGAAGACAAGTCGCAGCCACCTGCAGCCATTGGTCCCTCCCTCGTTGTGCCTCATGCTCTGTTATGCACGAGGAGCCCACGTACCTTTTCATTGCAGTCCGTAGACTAATCCTTGATTAGTGTTTTCAATATTCTCTCAAACACACAGCTTCTTTATTTTCTTTGTGTTTGGTTTTTCTTTTTTCTCTGCCGTGAAACAAAATTAACAGTCAATCACAGCAGTAGCTCTTTTCTGTGGAGATGACTGGTAAATATATTAGTTTCGCATTGAATGATTAATCACGTGTGATTGAAAAACAGGAAAATATCTCTTTTCTTGGAATCCAGTTAACTGTGTCAGCATTAGCATGGTCTTGGCTTGGAAAGCGTGGATCACAGTGTCCCACCAGACTTTGAACATTGAGTATAATTCCTGTCACATAGAGAATCTTTGAATGCATTCCTCAAAAGTAGGAACATTTCCATAGGGTTCCGAATTGGGATATTTGGATGTCTCTGAACCAAGTTGTGTTTGTCAGCAATTTACCAAAAGTGTTTTCCTGTTGATTGTCTCTATTAAGCAAACTCTATCAGAAAACTGCCTCTGGTTTGGACAGAACAATCAGACTTGCAGTCAGGAATTATGCTTACGTAGCTCTAATCAGTTTGAGGCTGGAAAATGCTGACTAAGCATTTCTCCACTTAGTTCGTCCTTGTAATTCCAATTTTGCCATGTTTTCAACTAGTATTTGACACTTACAGTCATATGTGCTATCTTAAACACTTGGAGCATGGAGCTACAGTCAGTTACCAAAGGAGGGGTATAAACTAAACAGGAATCTGTCCCTGTATGGAATCCGGAATGTATTTGATTACATTGACTGCTGATATGGAGCAGGAGGTGATGTTGCGGCCCAGATGGTCACTCAGCCACTCACAAGCCTGGCGTTCCACATGGAAATGTCGCACCAGGTCCTAGCTGCTCCTTTTCCAATGCAGCTTCTTGCTCAGGAGCAGGAGATGATGGTGGAAGAAGGCCCACGTGTTTTGGCTCCTCCCTGATCCCCACCTTTGTAGTTGTTGCCATCTGAGGAGTGAAGCAATACATGGAACATACATTTATCTCCTCTTCCTTCCTTCTTCTTCCCTTCCCTTACTGAACCAGAGTTTCTTCCCGGTCTCTCACATGGGTGCAGGGTCTCAAGGCTTTGGGCCGTCCTTGACTGCTTTCCCAGGCCACCAGCAGGGAGCTGGATGGGAAGTGGAGCAGCTGGGATTAGAACTTGCGCCAACATGGAATCTCAGTCATGTAATGCCAAGGATTTTAGTCACTAGGCTATCTCGCTGGGCCCTGTTTCCCATTTCTTGATGTTCTTGATGTTCTGCCTTTGAAATGAAAAAATGTGAAGTCAGTCTGTATTTCTGCCAGATATCAGATGCACAAACAGTCTTGTTTTCTGTTTGCTCCCTCAGGATGCCTCTATTGCACATCGATTTCATATCATGCGAGAAAAGCACCCCGAGAAGTTCAACAGCAGGTAAGGAAAACAATGCATCATCATTTAGTGACTGTTGATGAATCCCGCCCTAAGAAAGCCTCTGTCTGGCGTGTGTCTCCACCTGAGGTAGGCTCAATATGTGTGTAAATATTTAAAACAAAAACCAAATGCCATTTTCCCCTTTAGGTTTTACTGGGACTAAAATGGGGAAAACAGCGCGTTCATCTCTGTCCCATTCGCCTATGCTGTATAAAATAACTTCATATATAAGTTGAAAACAATGGCTTATTAACATATTTCAGGTGTCTTTACACGCTGTTGTGTGGCTAGCAGCCGTCGGTAACTGTAAGGAACAGTAGGCGCCAGCGTTGCTAAAGCCAAGTGAGTGTGCCCTGCGCAGGCCTCACACACACGCTCTGCGGTTCCAACTCCATCCCACAGGGCCTCATTCAGTGTAGACTACACCAGAGCAAGGTCAATGCCGTGCAAAACTCTTAGCACTGTTTCCTCTTTGTGAAAAGCCTTGACAGACAAAAGTGCTTCTCCCCTAATAGCAACAGGCAGGCGTGTTTTCCTCTCCGAAATGTGAGCCAGTGATGACCACAGTTGCTGAGGAGAATCGGGAAGGCTCTGGCTCTGTAGCTTTCCTGTTTCTGGGGTAGGTGACTCCCCAACTCATGACAAGAAGCGAGTTACCTATTACCCCAAGTACATGCCTTTCTAGTCCATTCTGTCATGAAGTCGTAACTTTGTTGTGTTATATGTGGTGTCCAAAGCTGCAGACTTGCCCTGCCTGCTCCAGGTCGTTTATTCCACAGTTGCTCATGAGAACTTCTGCATTAGCTTCATTTTTGTCATCCGCTGGTTCACTGGCTTACCTTTTCTTCCTTCAGAGTCGCAATACATAAAGCACTATGAAAGGATGTTTTCACACTTGCTCTAGATTTTTCTGAACTATCAATTGATATATGCTGTGTTACGTAAGAAATGTCACAACAAATACTTCCATGTTATTGAAATCCTATCTGATGTTTCGTTACACTTACCCATTTAAGTGATTTGTAAAACAAGTAAATACTGATTTCCCTGACGTATCATAGGTGTGGTCTTGAGTTGTTTCTCAGCTTGCAAACTATGAGTTGTGACTTTTTGGGTTGGCTTATTCTCTCCTGGTTCACAAAAGCAAAACTTACTGAAAGAAAAAAAGTGAATGTTGTGTATGTGTGTGATCATATAATATCCTTAGAAAGTTTCTCAAAAATATAATTGTTTGCTTCTAGATAAGTGGAATGAGTGTGAGTGTGTGTGGTTTGTGTTTGTGTGTGTGTGTGTGTGTGTGCGTGTGTTTTGGTTCCACTTGAATTTGGCTGCAAGTGGATTACAAAATGAAGGCAGATCAAATTTTATTACATTTTGGAACGTAGAGGTTTTTATTACATGTGAAGCAAGCAGGTATTTTTATTTGATGTGATTTAATTTCTGTGACACCCATAGAATAAGTTGAATTCATAAGGAAATCATACTCAGTGTATAGATTTCAGCATCTGCAGCTCTCGAATATTCTAAAAATGAAGGGGTGACTGTTAGTGTGTGTGAGGGTGTGAGGAACGAATTCGTGTGGTCTGTGCATGACCAAGTGTCAGTGCGCAAGGCCTTCATGAGATGGCAGGTGAAAGGATTAAGAGAGCATGAAGAGAATCGCTTGGAAAATGCAGCATTTGGTGCTCCAAGCTGCAGTTGGGTAGTCTAGAATCCCACTCAAGGCTTTACAAGCATCAGATGCACAACCAGCAGAGGCTGAGCAGTCTCCGTGGCCTCACGCCACTGCCCCAGGTAGGGCGGGGAGACGGTCCCTGGCCCAGGAGAAGGCGTGCTGAGGGCTGTGCTGGGGAAGAAGGGAGTGCATCCACGCGGGTAATAACCAAGCTTGACAACCTGCACACCTGTACAGAGGCCAACGTTTATGTCTTCTTTGAGGGCCAAGGGAAAGGCTCTTTTTATGCAGAATACTTTTAATTCTTCTTAATAATACAATTATTATTCATATCTACCCACTTATTTTTATTATCACTGCCACTTCATTATATTCAGCATTGTCTAACATGTGGCTAAACGCCATTGATAGTAATGCATTTTTTAAAGATTTATTTATTTTTATTACAAAGATATACAGAGAGGAGGAGAGACAGAGAGGAAGATCTTCCATTCAATGACTCACTCCCCAAGTGACCGCTACGGCTGGAGCTGAGCCAGTCTGAAGCCAGGAGCCAGGAGGCTCTTGCAGGTCTCCAATGCGGGTACAGGCTCCCAAGGCTTTGGGATGTCCTCCACTGCTTTCCCAGGCCACAAGCAGGGAGTTGGATGGGAAGTGGAGCTGTTGGGATTAGAAGCGGTGCCCATATGGGATCCCGGGCGGGATCAAGGCGAAGACCTTAGCTGCTAGGCCACTGCCTGGGGCCCAACAGTAATGTATCTGTCTATCTCAGTATTTGTATCAGCTGTAAAACTGTATCTCATTGGAACATCTTTGTGGCGGTGAAGCATGAAAGCATCTTACAAATAAGTTCCAGGAATGTTTCTCTTGAAACAATGATAGCAAAAAATGTCACCTAGAATGTCACAAAGTCATATGTTGGCTATTGGCCAACTGTTTGTTTAGTTTTTTTTTAAAGATTTATTTGATTTTTATTGGAAAGGCAGATATACAGAGAGGAAGATCTTCCGTCCAATGATTCACTCCCCAAGTGAGCGCAATGGCTGATGCTATGCTGATCCGGAGCCAGGAGCCTCTTCTGGGTCTCCCACGTGGGTACAGGGTCCCAAAGCCTTGGGCCGTCCTCGACTGCTTTCCCAGGCCACAAGCAGGGAGCTGGAAGGGAAGCAGGGCTGCCGGGATTAGAACTGGTGCCCATATGGGATCCCGGGCGTGCAAGGCGAGGACCTTAACCACTGCGCCACTGCGCTACTGCGCTGGGCCCTTGTTTAGGTTTTTAACACTGAAATTCTGTAACTACCAAGTCAGTTACTCATGTATGTTTCAACTGATAAACTTGTGGGTTGTCTTTTCTCAGAGTTCCAAGAATTTATCTAACTTCCCAAATCATAAAGCATCGTGTTCAGGACTTGAGAAATTTCTGGTAAATTTACTTGAGGAAGACACGTTGTAAGCAAACGTACAAGGGCAGATGTTCCGATTTTAACATGGAGACAGGCTCTGCCGTAGCATGCGTTCATATTTCCAGGAATTTGCGAATGGATTATTTTAAGTGTCTCTAATAATGGCATTTCAGATCAGATCTCTTGTCAGAGTAAATCATGTGCCATTAATATTATCTTCTAGCATGCGCACCTTGAAATTCATTTATATTTTAGAGAACCTGATGTTTCTAACATTATCTTAAGGAAATTAATTACCAAAATATAGTGCTGCTGCTGTCTGTACGTCTTCGGACAGAAATTGAAGGAACTGGGGAAGGTAATGATTTTTCCGGTGCTTAACAGTGGAGAGCTTTATATCGGATCCTTTCCAAGTTTTTCTCTGAATCTGAGTTAACTGTTAAAAGAAAGCATACTTTTCAACATTTAAGCTTTAAGATCTTCCTCAAAAGCGAATTTAAGTAAATATGTTCAGAATGTTAGACTCAAGGTGAAACTCTTTAAGGTACTTACATTAATGTGCTATAAAGTCCTCGATTGCATAACATAGTCTTACTTAAATACCTGCTTTTTGTATACATACACATTATATAAATCAAATTTGTATGTATGGTATATATGTGATATTATATATATCATATATAATCTGATTTGTGCTCCTAGAGTATACCACTCCTAGTTCTGTTTAGAAAGAAAAAATCTAAGTATACTGCATTTACAATGTTGACATTAATGAATGTTCACCTATACCGCTGACAAAGATGTCCGTCAGAATTGTGAATTTAGAAAAAATTGCAAAATGTTGCTAAACTCCATGAATAAATTAAGAACTTGCAATTAACACACAAAATGGAATTGGCTACAGCAAAACAGTGATGATCCTTCCACCCTTTTTAAGAATTGTAATCATAGCACTTTTTTCCAAAATTCAATGCAGATTCTCAACATATACCACTTTAAAGCATTTGTTGTTGTTTTGTAATGAACTCAATGTAGCAAGCACTGACCCCTGGAGACATAGTGATGTCACTTCATTGTGTCCCTACAACTTATATGAAACTAATTCTGACTGGCTGAGTGTGACTAAAAGCTTTTTCACCCTTCTCGTGGGGGTGTGGATGTGGGTCAATTTGGCGGTTTGATAATTTGCTGCTTTTTTTTTCCCTTTAAGGAATCTATAATAGAAAATGAAAATTCATTTGCAAACTTAAGTTAGGCATTTCAGTTCATCTCTGTGTGATGGCTATCATCAACTTAGGGCAGAAAGAATCACAAATTTGGACAAGTTGCTTGTGTATATTTCAGAAAAACACTTTTTCTATTGGCAGTTCTGGCCTTTTGGGTGGGGAGGAGTTATTGTATATTTTGTGATGTGATGGAACAGAATCCTCTTTCTGCAGGGGGTTTTAGTAACCACAAGGAGTTCAGAATACAATGGATACTCAATAGATACTTATTCATTCAAATATGTATTATTTCATGCTCTACTGGTCTTCCAAATATCTTACCGCTTTTCTAGTCTGTGCTGTCAATAGTGCATGAAATTGTACCAGAAAAATTAGGGTTGCAACATGTTGAAAATGATTCTTAAGTTTATCTAACTGCTTTTCAGACGCTACAATATGTTTTTAGTTGTCTCAACCTTTATGTGCCTAACCTCCAGGTACCTGAAATGTTAATCGAATTCGGCAACATAAACCTATAAGCACCAATAATAAGCAAATGTACTTGCTCATAGATTAGTTTTGTGATTCTTGTTATCCTTATAGATTAGTATTAAGTAATTATCAAGCAAGTATTAATATCCGTCTGAGGCTAGTGTTTCACTGAAGCCTAAACACAAGGTGTTATTCTGATACATTGATATCTTAGTTTTGCACACC